GAAATATCTTCATCATTGCCTTCTGCCAAACTTACACAAGTGTGTATCTCTGACCATAAATCATTTAACAATTTTTTCTTGTCAATTATATTAGCACATTGCTCCAACAGATTTCCTCCTAAGTCAAAAATTGGTTTCTTCAGTGCCATAGTAGTCCATCTGTGTAGCATATACTGCTTAGGAATGGTTTCAAACCTTTTTGCTTTCCAAACCCAAATCATATGTCTACATGGAATTCCTTGCCTATAAAACAGCTTGCAAGAACATGTGGTGTCATAGTTAGTTAAATTAAACACAACATCAAATGTTCTAGTCCGATTTACTTCACTTACTTTTGAAACTTCCAATCCATTTACTTTCTTCAATTCATCAACACCATAAGAAAAACAAGCAATTTCAACCTCATATTGAAATTCATAAAAGACAGAGTTAGTATATAAATGTGAGGCATGGTTTTCTATCCCTATTGATGTTTTGCACTCAGGATATTTGTGCTTTGATTCATTATCATTTTGACCTTGAGTGTTTCTCTGGGCATCAATTGCAGATTTATATCTCAAGTAAAACTCAACAAGTGACACATAAGGATTGATAAAGGATCAGAAAAAGTTGTTTTCACTTTCGGATCTTGATGTTGTACGCATTATTCCTCCAAGGAACACATCTCTGAAATATGCCAGAATCTACTTGTCCCTTATCTTGTACATATAACCTAACCACTCATGTTGTTCCAAGTGGTATTCAACCATCACCTTATTCCACATTTCTTCAAACTCAACGGATTCAATTTCAAGATGCCAAACACAAGCACATAATTTTTTTTAGGAAACCAGTTTCTTCCTGCATGATTGTTTTCTCCACCTTATCTGGTAACTTCTTCATTATGTGCCACATACAAAACCGATGCTTAGTCTTCTAAAACACACTACTAACAACAATTTTCATTGCTGGATCCTGATCCGTGATCAGACAATTAGGTTCATTTTCACCCATTGCCCTGAGAAATGATCTGAACAACCACTCAAATGACACAATATCTTCCTTTTTTATGAAACCAGCAACAAAAATAATGCAGCTCTTATGATGGTTAATCCCTGTAAATGGAGTAAACACCATGTTGTACCTGTTTACACATACAGATTAAATTTTAAATGAGCAAATAATTCAATGCTCATTTGACAAATGAGCAAATAATTGATTGCTCATTTGTCAAATGAGAAAATAACTCAATGCTCATTTGTGAAATAAGAAAACAATTCTTTGCTCTATTGTCAAATGCGCAAATAATTGAATGCTCATTTGTCAAATGAGCAAATAACTCAATGCTCATTTGTGAAATAAGCGGGCAATTCTTTGCTCATTTGTCAAATGAGCAAATAATTCAATGCTCATTTTTAAAATGAGCAAACAATTCAATGCTCATTTAATTATTTGCTTGCTCATTTGAACAATTTAATGCTCATTTTTCAAATGAACAAACAATTCAATGCTCATTTTTCAAATGAGCAAATAACTATTTTCTCATTTGTCAAATGAGCAAACAACTTTTATTAGAACATATAGAGAATTCATGAAACATAAGAGACTTTGAAAGTGTTACCTTAGAATTATTCACAATTATTTTTTTGTGCAATATGTTCATTTTCCTTTCTTCTTTTTGGAAGAGATTGCAACTAGGTGTATAAAGTGCATGAGTATGTCCCTCATGAAATTGTGTCACTATGAATTTGTTATCACCACAATGCTTTAGGATAATATGTGCCTTGCACCCAACACGAGTAACGAGTCTCTTCCTTTTGATTGAAGCTTTTTCTTCATTGCTTTCTTCTTCCTTGTTATTTAAATCTTCTTCAACAGTAGCCTTTCTTTTCTCTTTGTATCCTTACTTATTGCATAAGATATATCGTGATTTCAATTCTTTGCTTCTTGGTCTTTTAGTTGGAGACTTCCTTGTGTTGAATCCAACAACAAATGCGTAACTTTTATAAAATTCAAGGCCCTCTTCAAGATTATTAAACTTCATCCCTATAGTTTGTTTCAACTCATTGGGGCATATTGGAAGCCATTCTTTTGTTCTTCCAAGAGTGAGCAAAGGTGCTACTTTAAGAGAAACTACTATTGTAGGAGTAGTTGGCACATTTATGATGGTACTAGAATGACTCTCAAGTTGTTCGTTGTTCCTCATCATTTCTGTCATTAAACATAATAGAAATAACAAGTCATTAACAAGTGAAGAACAACTCAACAAAACAGTAACAAGTGAATAACACAATAATATAGAAAACATAATTGTAATTGATCAGCTGCAATTCTGTACCCCCCTTAAACACACTTAAACACACACGCATACACACATACACACTCTCAATAATTAGAACTGAAATCAGATTCTTAAATAAGAACGTACATGGGCAGAAGCAAAAACACACACTTACACTACACTCACTCACACACACACACACACACACACAATGATTTCAAAATCTAAAATTAGAACTGAAATCAGTTTTTGAAATCAGAACTACAAGCAGAAAAAGGAGGGGGTAGGGGGGATAGGTTTGTGCAGGGAAGCGGAAGAAGGGAGTGGAGTTAGTGTGCAAGTAACAGACCAAGAAGGGGGTGGGGCATGTGCGCAGGCAAATAGACCAAGGAATTCATAATATGTTTGCTCATTTGGAATATATTTGCTCATTTTAATTATTTTTTGCTCAAAATCTATAGTAATTATAGAAGGGGGTGGGGCCTATGATTCTCATTAATATTTTCTCATTTTAATACTATTTTTCTCAATAACAAGTTCAAAAAACAGTTAGAAATGTTCTATTGTATACATATTTAGGTTTGCTCATTTCATTTTATTTGCTCGATTTAAATTTGATTGAAAATAAGAACATAAAACAGCATTCAATTGAAAATAAGAACCTACTAGCAACATAATAAGAGCATTCAATTGGAAATTTCAGAATATTTCTTAATTTTTGATCATATGTTTAATCTGACATCATTACAATCACTATCAAGTTTAATATGATATTATTAAAATCTCTAAATCAAAAGTAAATTCGAAAATCAATAGAACATGGAATGCAATAATTTCAACAAAAATTCAAAAGTAAATTCGAAAATTATCAGAACAATAAATTCAAATACTACCTCCATTGATTATTATGTGCAACAAATGCTTTTTTTATATATCACAAATAATACCCTTTTGTTGCACATAATAATTAACGGAGGTAGTACTAAGATTAACATGCAATTCAGTAAGATTAGACGACTAACATAATTGAATTTTAACGAAAATCATCAAAAATCTAAATAATCAGAACTAAACAATTGGAAATTTTGACGAAAATAATCTAAAACTTAGAGAATGAACAAACCTCAATAATCGATGAAAATTGTGTGCTTGTGAACAAGCTAAGAAGAGGAGAGAGAAATTGCCAAGGTGGAGAGAGAAGACAGTTAGGCTTGGTTTTTAGGAGGTTTATATTATTAATCTCAGCTGTTGGATTTAATACAATCTAAGGGCTGAGATTTGTTCTCACATATTGGATGAGTTCTCATATATATATATATATATATATATATATATATATATATATATATATGGAAGGGATCCGGTAAGAACCCCTTCTTATATAAGAGCCCCAGTTATATAGGAACCAATCTCAGCCGTAGGATTAAGTTACTTTGGACGGTTAAGATTAAAACACATATCCTCCCTCAAACCCTCTACCAACCGTCTAAAATTTTCTCTCTCCTCTAACTTTCTCTCTCTTCGTGTTCATCACTTTCTCTCTCCTTAAACCCCTAAAAATCTCCATAGAAATTGCAATTTGAAGGATTTTCAAATTAGGTATGTCTTTTTTTTCGATTTTGTTCAAATTTCCATGAAATTAGCATGATGTTCAAGTAGATTTTGTGATTTTTCGATTTGATTTTTGCGATTTTATGTTTTGCGATATTTGTGATTTGAATTTTGCGATTTTTCTGTTTTGATTTTTATGAATTTTGCATGAGTTCGATTTTTCAAATTTGATTTTAATGAATTTCGCATGAGTTCGATTTTTTTGAGTTTGATTTTTGCAATTTTCAGCGGATTCATGGTTTGATTTTAGGGTTCGAATTTCAAAGATTTAGTGTTCGAATTTTAGAGATTTAGTGTTCGAACTTCAGTGATATTAGGTAATTTCTGCACTACTATTGATTATTTATTGTTTATTTTTTATTGGTGTGGTGGTGCTATGGTGGACTGAAATGGTGGTCTGGCGGTGGTTTAATTGTTGTTTTGGGGTGCGTGGAATTGTTGTGGTACTGTTGATGATACTACTGGAATTAAGTGTAATCCAGGCAATCTGGATGATTGCTTTTGCTGGTTTCCTGCACAATTTGTTATTATTTTTGGTCAATTTGTTTCCTGTAAGTCCTTTGTATAGACTTTCTGCTACCTGCGTACGCTTGTACCTTGTGTTCCTGAATGTATCTTTTGTTGCAATTTATTTGCTGGAATTTTTCTTGGAGAGTCATGGTGTTGATCTTTCCACGTTGTTCTTGTCGATATGTTTATAGAATGTCAATGTCATGATCTAAAATACACTTTTAAGATATGAATGCAACTGACATAGCTTAGCATGTTCTAAACTCTTTTTAAGCATGTTCTAAACTCTTTTTCAGCATATTCTAAATTATTCCTATGTTCAAAAATATATTACTAATGTTGGAATGTTACTAATGTTTTTTATTTCTTAAAATTGCAGCAAAATGCAAGGCCAAAATGAAGAAAAATCAGAAGAAGGAGTTACTAATATACAAGAAGAAGAAATTACTTACTTAAGAACAAGGTAACTAAACTAATGTTCTAAAGTTTACCTATTATGTTTTAAAGTTTGTTCTAAAGTCTTCCATTATGTTCTAAAGTTTTCCCTTATGTTCTAAAGATTTGTATTATGTTCTAAAGATTATCATATATGTTTGAAAGCTTATTTTGTAGTCTAATGTTTGTCCATTATATTTAAATTTCATCTTAACCCTTTATATTTGCACTATATGTAAGTTTTGATCAAAGCATACATGATTATGAAGTTTTCCTTTTGTGGTTTTATTTGATTATGTTTGAAATTGGTTAAGGTTTTGGTGTTGAGGTTTGAATTGGTTGATTTTTTTTTTTATCATGTTCCAAATTTAATATTTTGTATTTACAGAACAACTCCTATGTTCTAAAATTTGCCCTTTATGTTCTAAAGTTTTCCCTTAAGTTCTAAAGTTTACCCTTATTTTCTACAGTTTACCCGATATGTTCGAAAGTTTATGCTATATGTTCAAAAGTTTATGGTAGATATTCTAATGTGTATCCATTATAGTTTATGTTCATCTTATCCCTTTATATTTGCACTATATTTAATATTAGTTATATTCTAATTATTTATGATTGTTTTTAAAGGAAAGTTGAAAACGTTGAAGCGGAAGTAATCGACAAGTCGGAATTTAAGAAGCATATTGCAAATAAAAGTGTTGATAAAAGACATAGCAAACTTCCAACAAGGCTTCAACTACCTCGAAAATTGGAAAAAAAGGAAGGAGAAAAAGATCGAGAAGAAGAAAAAGATTAAATAGAAGAAGAGGATAATACTTAGGGGTGTTAAAAAAAAACCCGACCCAGTTGTCCCGTCCTGATTACCCGATGACCCACAAAAAACCCGATGGAAAATCGACAAGTTTTTCTGTTTTTTTCGGGTCGGGTACCCGTCCCGCTAAAAAAGCAGTTTCACGGGCCGGCACACGGGACAAGCTTTGCTAATTACGGGTACCCGAATACCCGTTAAAAAAAATCGTATGAAATACCGGATTTAAGGCCCAGCCCACTTAAACCTAGGGTTCCAATAACTATCAAAGAATAAAAACGCAGTCATGACATTCACTCTCTCTCTCCTCCGTTCAAGCTCACTCTCTCTCCTCCGTTGGGTGTTCTTCTCTCTCTTGCACCTCATCTCGACATCTGAGGATTCAAAATTGCTAACCCATAATCCTAATAACTGAGAGACAGAGAAAATAAAAATGGGTTCAAGTACGAATAATATTGGAAGTAGTAATTATGATTTATCATTCAAAGTGTTGTTAAATGGTGATTCTGGAGTTGGCAAAAGTAGTCTGCTTGTTTCTTTCATTTCTAATTCCACTCATGATCAATCTCCTACTATTGGTAATTTCCTTTTTTTTTTCTTCCTTTTGGAATTGGAATTTTGTTTAGGTTCAAACCCACCGACAATTGGAGTTTCTGAGATTATTTTTTATTTTTTTATTTATTTTTGTGGATCTGGATTTTGTGTTTGAAGGTTTGAATTATTGAAATGATTGCTTGTTTGTTGGTATAATATTTCCAGATAATTTAGTCAATAAAATAGTACAATTTTCGTTAATTGTTCGTTTTCATCACAATTTGTTTATATGTATAAATTAATTAATTTAATTTGAGTAGATAGTTTTACCAACTTAGGAAAATCGAAATAGAAAGCGTAACCAACTTCAAGAGGGTGGAAGTTGTTTATTAATTATTGTTTGATTGATGAGCAGATAGTATCATTTTCTTAATAAGACGAATTTCATGATTTTATGGAAATTTAATTCAAGACCAATAATCCGATAATTTACGACTACTTCAAATTTTTGTCTATTTCGAATAAAGGGAAGAAGAATAAAATCCGGGTACCCGTATCCCTTCCCGGATAATTCAGGTACCCGATATCGGGTACCTGAATTATTCGGGACGGGACACAGGCCGACTTATCAACTACCCGAAAATTCGGGGTATATCAACTACCGGGTACCCCGAATTTTCGGGTACCTGGATCTGAACACCCCTAATAATAATGGTGAGGATGATGATGAGAATAATGATAGTGAAGATGATGGTGAGGATGATAATAAGGGTGATGTTAAGATAAAAGAGAAAGATGAAAAAGAGGATGAGATTGAAGATGATAGTGAGGAGGACAAAAAATCAATAAAAAAAAAAAAAACCAAACAAACAAACTCAGGTAATAGTAAGTCTTTATTTTTTTAGTGGCATTCCTAATTTATTTAGATGTGGTTTATTATGAACTAATCTTTTTGCATGATGTACATATTCATGGAAACTGAAAATGTGAAGAAGAAGAATATAAAGATTGAAAAAGAAGAAGATGATGAGGATGAGGATGTCCAAGTACTAGAAGCTAATGAGCAAGAAAAACTAGTTAAGAGGCAACCTTATCAAAGAGTATCTCCTACCCAATTCATGGAGGATGTGTTGACAGATCTTTCGAAGAAACATAAGCAAGTTATTTGGAATATTGGTTTTGGAGGTTTTTTGGGATTGGATTCACCAATCCATATTAATTCTATGTAAGTAGTAGATCTTTCATGTTCTACAATCATATGTATTATCATTGTTATGTTCTAAATTATAATCTCTCATGTTTGAATCTCTATACACTAATGTTCTAAATTAATTTTTGGTTATGTTCTAATGTATGATTATTATGTTATAAAATAGAACCTTTTTTATTCTTGTTCTAAATTATGTTCTAAAGTTTAAATATTATGCTAAATAATTTAATCTTCTATGTTCTAAAGTTTGACTATTATGTTCTAAACCTAGGTGTATTGTGCTCTAAATTTTACATTTTTCATCATAATTCTAGGTTGACGAAATACTTGGTTATGAATATTGTCACAAAAAGATGTTGTTTGAAGCTGTCTAAGAAAAAACAAGAAATCTTTTTGGATACATTTGATGTTCATTAGGCTTATGGGTTGCCATTGGGAGGCAAAAAGATTGAGCAACCAAATGATGAATCAAATCTGAAATGGAGCAAGTTTCTAAAAGATTGGAGAAGCAAGTTTGGCCTCAAAAAGGTATGATGATATAATGTGGTTATGTTTTAAATTTTATGTTCTAAAGTATGAATATTATGTTCTAAAATGCAGATCTTATATGTAGTTATTTGACTTGTAATGTTCTAAATTATATCTAACTATTTTTATGATAATATATTGGTATAAGATGGTAATGTTATAAATTGTCTGTTCAAATTCATTATTTATCCTGTTTAAACTATATCTATTACACTTTTTATGTTTTAAATTATAATCTCCTTTGTTCTAAATTATTTTGCTTATTTTCTGAAGTGTTTTCTGCTTATATTCTAAAGTACACTAATTATGTTCTAAAATAGATCTATTATATTTTACATTATAAATATATTGCTTATTATGTTCTAAATTATAATTTCTTATGTTATAGATATTGACTATTATCTCCATATATGTTCTAATTTATATGTTTTTTTTAACCTCTAAAAGGGAAGTCCAACCAACAAAAGATTGATCAACTGAATTCAAGAATTGAAGAAGGAAACAATAGTTTCTGATGAATTCCTTTGGAACTTTGTGGTATGTGTTGTCAATTGTTGCATCCAATCAACAAACAACACACAACTATACATTAAATTCTTGTATAGTTGTATGGATGTAAGGAAAATTGCTGAATTGGATTGGTGCACATTTGTAATTGAGCACTTAAAAGATTTTATTAATGTATGGAAGAAGGGAAATTTTTACTTTACAGGTCCTTTACCTTTTCTAATGGTAAGTTTTAATTTATTACCATTATGTATATATGTTATTCTTGTTATGTTGAAAATGTGTGAAAAATATTCTAATTAATTCTTAACATGTAATAAATAGGTATTCTATTTTGATCGTCTACAAAGAGGAGGGTTAGAAAAACCAAGAAAAAATCCACTAATATCGGTGTGAATAAAGGAAATGATTCAAATGAGATATAAGGTTGAAAAAGATTATGGATTTGGATATGGAAAAATCTTGGAAAGAATGGAATCAAATGTGGTATGATATTTGTATATGCTTATGTTTAAACACTACACTTTATATTCTATCTATATTTGCCCACGTTCTAAATTTTACCATCTATGTTCTAAACTATATACTTTATGTTATAAACTGTTTTAATATTTACCCCTATATATTCTAAACTTTATATTCAACTTACTTTTGCCTATTTTCTAAAGTTTACCCTGTACGTTCTAAAGTTTACCCTGTATGTTCTAAAGTTTATTATTTATGTTGTAAAGTTTATCCTTTATATTCTAATCATTCAACTTACTTTTGCCTATGTTCTAAAGTTTACCTTGTATGTTCTAAATTTTACCCTATATATTCTAAAGTTTACTCTTTATGCTCTAAAGTTTATCCTTTATATTCTAAATTTTGTAATTTATATATTATAATGTGTAGGAAGAAAACAAGAAACAATTAAGACAAGAGGATAAGGAGAAGAGAAAGGAAGAGTCATCAATGGTAACTATACCTTTTAAATTATTACTACATATGCTTATCTTTTAAAATTTGTAGACACTTTATTCTAACCTTTATATTCTAATCTTTAAAATTTATGTTATTGTTTTCTAAATTTTGTAATTTATATACTAGAAGGCACCAAAAGGAAAAAAGAAACAACCAAAACAAAAGAACAAGGAGAAGAGAATGGAAAAATCATCAATGGTAACTATACCTTTTTAATTATAACTATATATGCTTAACTTCTTAATATTGTAGATACTTTATACTTTATGCTCTAGTTATTTTAAGTTTTTATGCATATGTTCTAAGATTTGTATTTTATGTTTTGGAAGGCACACAAAGAAAAACACACAAAAAACAAAGGTAAGGAGGGAATAATAAAACAGCCATCAAGGGTTTCTAGTTCTACAACTTCTCGAAATGACATGATGGTATAATGTTTAAATGTTTTATTTATTTATTTATTTACTTATTTCTATTCTCATCTTATTATGTTCTAAATTATCATCTATGTTCTAAATAATCCTTCAAGTTTTAATTATCATTTACTTTATGTTCTAAATTATATTTTACGCTCCATTTAATCCTTTACGCTTTAAATTATCCATGTTGTGTCCTTTATAAGTTTTCCTTTATGTTCTAAATTATTTTTGTGTTGTAATGAAGGACGTTTTGAGCAAATTTGGAGATTTGGCAAAAACACTTGCCTTGAATGTTAAAAGATGTATGGCATGTTAGAACAAGCAAAACATCTTTTTGTCGAGGAAGAATTAACGGGAAAAATGCAACATCTCATAGACAACATATGGTGCAAGTACACAACAAAGGTATTATAAATTGCATGCTTATGTTTGCCTATTGAATTTTGAAAAATAAAAGACGTGGTGTAGACAAGAAGAGTAGATTCTTTTTCACTACTGAGTACTATGTATGTTTTCGAACTTAAAATTATAAATTTGTTATAAGTATCTTACTTAAATTCTAATTTTTGTTCCTCATATAGATTATACTATGCACCTATGTTCAATTACTTATGTTTTAATTTCTTTTTCTTTTTCAGCTCATACGTTGTACCAAAAAATACTTCAAATCAAATGAAAGGCAAGAAGATAGAATGAAGGCTTTGTTTGATAGAATGCAACAAGAAATGACAACGACCAAAGTAACAAGCTTCCAAAGCATTTAATTCGTAACTTGGTTCTAATTATATCTTATTATATGTTCTAATTATTGGTTTTGTTTATGTTCTAATTATTTTTATCTATGTTTAAAAGTATTTGCTTATGTTCTAAACTACATGCTTATGTTCTAAATTGCATGCTTATGTTCTAAACTACTTACTTATTTTCTAAACTACTTATGTTTTAAACTACATGTTCTTAGCTACAAGCTTATTTTCTAAAATACATGTTATAAAAATTATATGCTTGTTTTTTAAACTATATACTTATGTTCTAAAATGCATGCTTATGTTCTAATTTTGTTTATCTATATTCTAGTTCTGTTTATCTATTAGGTTTTCTTCCCGGTCGTTTTACCAGATCACTGTTATTTGCTGTGTGTCAACTTTGTGGAAGGAACACTTGATTTGATTGACAACAACTTTCTTCCACCAAATATTCCTTTTCAAAATAAATATGGAAATTAACATAGATTAATGGTAAGACATCAAAGTTTATATTTTTTAAATTATACTTTTATGTTCTAACTTTTGCCTTATATGTTCTAAAGTTTTCCCTTTATGTTCTACAGTTTTTCTTTATGTTCTAAAGTTTACCCTATATGCTTGAAAGTTTATACTATATATTCTAAAGTTTATCCAATTTTTCAATTGAATGCATTTGGTGATTCCTTTCACTCAGTTGAGTCAAATATAAAGATTGACTTTGTATCCTCCTTCAAAACAAGAAACTTGAGTATGTCATGAAAGAGCAATAAGAACAAAGATGATTGTGGAGAGTTCCTATTGAAGCACATGGAAACATATGAAGAAGAATCTGTAAAACAATGGAATTCGGGACTAGAACTAGACAATGTAAGTTTAAAACATAACATACATGTTTTAAATTAGTTTCATTTATGGTTTTGTTGTTACGGTTTTAGTGTTGTGGTTTGGTTTGATTATTATTTAGATTTGTTATGGTATATTATATTTATTATATGCTTATATGCTAAATTATATTCATGTTCTACATTATATGCTTATGTTCTAAAGTATTTCTGATTATGTTCTAATAATTATATGCTTATATTTTAATTTATTATTGTTTATGTTCTAAAAGTTACTCTTTTTTTTTTGCAGTTTGACCAAATGAAAAATTTAAGAGTGGAGTATTGTGGGAAGATAATAACAGCAGAAGTAAATGAAGAACGGAATAGAGTGATCAAGAGATCAAAAAAGTGTTCAAAGGAGAACAAACTTGATATATGATTGTTAAGATCTTAAGTTTACATTTGTAGACAGATATTTGCAAAGAACATAAGAGTACATTTCTTTATTGTTTGATAAAAGTTACTTTGATAGAAATTTGTTAACTAATAACATATAACATGCAATGATGGTTTACTAATAGTTTAGAACATAGTAAATTATAGTTTATGTTCTAAACTAAATACTGCAGGTTAAAATTTATCCTAATACTAATTCTATCTTCTTTGTTGCGAGTGGAGTTTGGTGGTAGTTGAAGTCATGTTCAAATGTAATTAGTTTAGAATACAAGACATTATGGTGTTGATAAGTAATCATACAAATAACAAATTAAAAATATAAGCAACTTAAAACATAGAGGTTAAAATTTAGAACATAAAGGAAAACTATAGATCATATTAATTAGATTAAAACATACAATAAACTTTAGAATATATAGAATAATTAGACAAAAAATAATATAATATTATGTTCTCAATATAATAATAAAAAAATAATACGAATTTTTTTCCATGTGCAAGTAATTGAGATTATTTCTAAAAATAAAACGTCTCATGCAATTGTACTAATTGCATATCCATCAACCTGAAAAAAAAATTAAATATAATTAGAACATAAACACATAAAAATATTAATAGAATATATATATGATAAACTTTAGAACATATTAGATGCATTTAAAACATATACAAAATTACGTTAGAATATAATAAAATGATATGAAAAGGCATTTATTAAATTAAAACTCAAAGTAAAAACTTAGGACATTATTGATAACCTTTAACACATTATTATATAGGAAAAATTCATAGGAATAATCCCACCTTTAGGCCGTTCGTTTTTAATAATACGACCTTTTGATTATTTTTTAATAATCCGACCTTTGGGTGCCTTTAATTTTTATTGGTCCCATTTGACCTGAAACCGGTAAAAGAGGTAAATTTTTTTTTTTTGGTTTAAAATACACGTGTCATTACATAATTGGTCAAAAAAATAAATAAATTAAAAAACCTAAATAATTTAGCCACCATCCCCACCACCACCCAAACCACCACCCCCACCACCAACCAGCCACCTACTCCCTATTCCCCTCCCCTGGCAGCAACCCCCACCACCGACAGCAACCAAGTCCCCCATGCAGCCTCAATTCCCCTTTTCCGGCCAACTAGTCCCTCTTCCCTCTCTTTCCGGCCAACACTCGAAAATCCTCGGAACTCCAACCAATGCAGCCACCACACAAAACACCGCACCTCCTCTCTCAGCCCACGCACCTCCACCCTGCGCAACCAATTAGCCACCAACATGCAACAAACAACCACCAATCAGCCACACCTTCTCACGCACAACCTCAAGACAGCAGCAACCCCATTACCGCCACTTCCAAACCCCTGCCGCTGCTCTCTCTCTCTCTCTCCACCTCGACATCAGCAAGCAACAACAATTAATCCACCCACATCGAAACCCTAGAAACCCGAAACACTTAGCAAAGAGATGAGAAAGAGGTGGTAAAGCAGCGGTTTATGATTACAGGTGGTTTTCGAGTGTTTCGAGTGGGGTAGAAAGGTGGTAAAGGAGCGGTGGTTGGGGTTGAGTAGAGGGGTGGTTGAGTTTAAGGTGGAGGTGAGGTGGGTGGTCGTGGTTGGGGTAGCTAGGGAAGTTGGGAAGGGCAATAGGGTGGTTGGGGAAGGGCGGTGAAGGTGGTTGGGGTGGCTGGGAGTATGTCGAAATTCATGGAGGTGAGAAATAGGGTAGGGGCAGGGAAAAGAGGATTAGGGGTGGTTGGGAGCTTTTTTTTTTTTAATTTATTTTTTGACCAATCACAGGTTGCCAAGTGTCAGGTAACTTGGTATAATAGGTCACTTGACCGGTTGGGACCAATAAAAATGAATGGGGGGTAAAGGTCGGATTATTAAAAAATAATCCAAAGGTGGGATTATTAAAAACGAATGGCGCAAAGGTGGGATTATTCCCATGAATTTTTCCTATTATATAATAATTTTATGTTATAGCTAATTAGAACCTTAGAAGGTAGACTAGCTCCAATAAGCATTTCAATATCTTTTGCTTTGGTAGAAAGAGTGTTGCTTGTATTAGTGGTTTTCTTATGTTCCAAATCCATCCTCAAAGCATGAAGTTTGTTGACAAGATCACTAAGATCATCTTCATTGTTTTGCACTAAACTCACACAAGCATGAATTTCGGACCACAAATCATTCAATAACATCTTCTTATCTATTGCATTGATACATTCCTCCAACATATTACCTTCTACATCAAAAATTGGCTTCTTACAAGCCATTGTAGTCCATCTGTTTAGAACGTAGGCCTTGGGAATTTTTTCTAACATCCTTGCCTTCCATACCCAAATCATATGCCTACAAGGAATGTCTTCACGTTCAAACATTTTACAAAAACACTTGGTTTCTAAGATAATTGGATCAAAAACAACATCAAAAGTCCTCCTAGATCCTTCCCTTAATTTGAAAATGTAAAGCTCATTCTCCTTCTTTATCTCTTCAACACCACAATTAAAACATCCAATTTAAAGCTCCTATTGAAATTTATAGAAAATTGTTGTTGTAAACAACTCGGAAGCATCTTTCTCTAAAGGAATTGGAGTCTTACACTCCAGACGCTTATTCTTCAAATCATTATCCATTTTATTTTGAGTGTGCCTTTGAGCATCCAATGCACATTCAAACCTATAAAAAATAGAAATTAACTTTATAACATAGAAGATAAATTTAGAACATAGAGTGAATTCCATTAGAACATATAAAAATAATATACATGATATGCTTATTATGATCTAAATACTATTAAAACATAAAGAAAAAACTTTTCAACATATAAGACAAAATTTAGAACATAAAAAGAGAACATAAAAGAGAATTATAAAATAAAGTAAAACTATAAAACATAAAAAGAAACCTTTAGAGCATAAAAGGAAAACTTTATAACATAGAGAGTAACTTTTAAACATAGAGAGTAACTTTAGAACATATTTAGACAATTATATATTACCTCATGTAGAACTCAATCAAAGTGAGATGGGGATTTGTGAACATAGTGAAAAAATTATTTTCACTTTCTGATCTAGATGTGGTCCTCAGATGTCACCTAAAAATAAATCTCTGAAATACGCTGGAATCCACATATCACGTATATTGTACATATGTGCCAACCATTCATGATCGTTCAAATCGAATTCAGAAATAACTTTGTTCCACTTTTCTTCAAATTCTGCCGGCTCAATCTCTAAATGCCAAACACATGTATAGAGTTTTTTCAAAAAATCAGTGTCTTGGGCAATTGCCCGACCTACTTTTTCAGGTACCTTTTTCATAATATGCCACATACAAAACCTATGTTCTGTAGTTTGAAAAACATTATGAACATCAACTTTCATTGCAGGGTCTTGATCGGTAATCAAACACACAGGCTCATTGTTTCCATTGCTTTAAGAAAAGTTTTGAAAACCTATTCAAAAGATGATATATCCTCATGAGCTACAAACGAAGCCGCAAAAGTAACACATTTCTTATGATGATCAACTCCAGTAAATTGACCAAAGATCATATTATATCTGTAACATACACAAATTATATATGTAGAAAATATTAGAACATAGAGGTAAACTTTAGAACGTAGAGGTAAATTGTAGAACATAGAGGTATACTTTATAAATGATGAAATTTAGAGCATAGTAATTTACTTTAATTATTAAACTTGCCAATAATATAGTTGCTTTAAACATAATGAATTACTCAAAACATAAACAATAAACTTAGAGTATAGAGTGAAGCTTTAAAACCTAATAAGTAAACTTTAGAACATATAGACATAATGTTTAGAACACAAGACATAATGTTTAGAACATTAGAACATGATGAATATTAGTTTAGAACATAAAGCATAAAGTGTAAAACACAAAAGCATAATGTTTAAAACATAAAAGCATGATGGATATATTTTAGAGCATAAGGCATATATGTTTAGAACATCAGCAATATATGTTTTGAACATCAGCAATATATGTTTAGAACATCAAAACATGATAGATATTATTATTATTATTTTTCTTCTTCTTTTATTTTTATTATTTTTTCTCTTTCTCCTCCTTCTTGCCTTTTTTTTTTCTTTCCTTTCTTTTTTTATTTTTATTTTACTTTTTCCTTTTTCATTTCTTTTTTTCGTTCTTTTTTTTTTCAGAGGAGGGTAGGTAAGGAACCCTTTCCCTCCCTCGGAAATTTTTGCAATTTTTTTGCACACATATTTCTGGGAAATAAAATGCGACAAATGACAAACGGTGATATATAAAATACGTCATGTACCAATATCGCATGTGTATAAAAAAGATAATATAATAATAATAAAATATATATACACTTCCCATAAATCAATATATATATATATATACACACACACACGATGGAATCAAGGTGCTTGGCGGCTCCCAGAAGGCCGCTGCACATCCTGCAAAATCCAAATCAAAGATTAATATGCATACATGTAATAACTTTGATGAAATAAGAAAGAAAGAAAAATACCGTAACCATCCGATGATCACGACATGACAAAGCCACGAGGGCCCTCCGATAAGCAGCTCGGAAAGCACGAAGGGTCCTCACCATGCCATTCACGGTCTCCCGCGAAACCTGTTCCAAAAATAGGACAGTTATAAAAACGTATATGATAAATGAAGAACTTATGTACATATGCGAAACAAAACATACCGAGTTGACCGTCTTTGGGACGAACGGTATACGATTTCTCTGCCTCGGGAGGCACCCAACCACCCAGCTCGACCCTCTATAAAAAAAAAGTAAAGCAATAAAACAAACAAGGGGTCAATATCCGAACGCCGAAAAAACACAACAAAATCTAGAGAAAGAAAGACTAACCGAAACAAAAGCTGGAAATGGAGTCAGTGTGGATGCAACAAACGCATGGTAAGATGCTCCAAGCAGCACCAGCTGCTCCGCAAGATAACAAAGGATCGCCTGAGCTTGATCCCCGGTAGACAGCAGATCCGATGCAGCATCCGGATCGAAGGGTCCGCAGGAACCAAAGGCTCCTCGGACGAGAGCTGCCAGACGACGCGCTCGCCTAAAAACCACGCGTTCGT